ACGTACATATGCGTATATATATAAAATATATATTTGAAAAGATTCTTATGTTTATGAAAAGGTAAAACCAAATAAAAAAGTGCGAAAACAAAAAAACGAACAAAAAATGTAATTTATATTTTAGAGATGCATGCAAGAGGCTGGGAAGTCATATCTAGAATAACAAATGGCAGTGCCTTTTCTTTTTCTTTTGTATTCAGACATTTACCCCCAAATGTAAATGATTTTATATGGCTCTAAAACAGAGAGATAAGCCAGACGCATTGATGGTGGAAACTTCAAATCATACAAAGTCCATACGAGCTGATTCCCGTTTCCATGAGGCTCAGGAGGAGCGTGCTGGAAGTTCATGGGAATCTGTATGCTTTAGGTACTTCAGTGCTTTTATGAAGTTATGAACTATATCTGTCTGTACAACACGCAGATGTGTATATATTTTTGTTTGTACTTGTGCGAGTGTGACACTGTGTATCCAGGTGAGAAACCGGATTGTCTTGTAATGTTTTTGTACATGCCCCTCTTAGAAAATGTTGCGTCATAACGTGGACGACGTCTTCAGGAGGTGTTTGTTCCACCACTTACCTGTGAGGCGTCACAGCACAGATTTTAAACATCTTTACTGAAATTAACGACTTCAGTCAAGAAAAAAAGAGGGATTTCGGTAATATCGTAACCTCTTTGGTTCGTGGCCTTGTGTGTGTTAATGGGAGACTATACTGTGTGTATGTGTCCGTGATGTTCTGTCTGCCAATTGAATGTGTATCATTTGGGTCTGTGTTAAATGCTTGACATTTTTGTAATAACCACAGACGAAAAGTATTAAAGAGTAACTTTTGAAAAGGACCTCACGTGTTTCTCTGATTTCAAACAAGCTGTTTTATGTTATATGCTTTGAGCTTTGCTCATATTAAGGGCAGCACTAACCACGAGTCTGACTCTGAGAGGAATTTACTGCCTCCTCTATCTCAACCAATCAGAGAGCTCGAGGTGGATTTATATTGCCAAGAGGCGGGGCTTTCTGTTAAAAAGACTGAGTCACTCTCAGCTTTATTATGAACTCATTTATGATGTGCAAATGAAAGTGTCACATAGGTGGGCAGTGCTGGTCATACAAATCATGTTGAACAATTAGAAAGTGAAATTGGCTGTTTTAATACATAGATGAAATAAAAATCATTAAAAAAAAAAAGGGGGGGGGGAAATGATAAAAGATAGGATATTATGCCTAAAGGAAATGAAGTCGTCTCACGATAAGCACACTTTTCCCGTCCACAGAGTCCAAATTCATTCAAGGAATAATAATGATAAATCAAATAAAAAATCACCTTCAATCTTTATGTAACATGATAAATGACATTTCCAGTCATTGCTTTCCCCCCACATACTAAAAAAAAACAAGAACATGCTAACATATTTTGCATAAGATTTACTATTTTAAGCTGAAAATGGTGAACATCAATAGTAAAGTATTTGAAAGACTGTGAGTCTTTCGTTTAAAGAAGGCCACATGAATAACACTAGTTCTCATTTTCTTAATGACTCCACTGATATGAAGCGATTGTGACATTGAACATCTCATAGCGTCTTCAGAAGCATCACGGCTCCAAATTTCATCCGAACTCATAAATGCAGACCATCAGTCAAAGATATTGTCATAATAAAAAGTCACAGGCAATACAACAGTGTCAGTAAATCCACAGCATCTGTTGTTTTTGAGGTTAATATCATTTTCTACAATGATACATAGTATATAATTGAAATTCTAACAATAATGCTCAAAGCACATTACACATACCCAAGGACAAGTAAACATGCATCAGAGTAAATGTACAAAATATGTTCTACAAATGTAGAATCCCAAAATATTTTTTAGTTGGTTTCCATCTTTTTTAATCATATTTTAATTACAAAGATCACATTTATCAGTACAGGTATGTTCGGTATTTTCCATGAATGTGCAAAATCAGATACTATGTTGACCTCCACTGGACCTTTCACCTTTGGTCTTTTTTCCCCCCAAGAAATAAAAAAACAACCTTCAGAGTGTAAACAACATCTATGGCCATACAGACAGGATATTCAAAAGGCTGGACCTGGTTATCACTTCAACACGTAATATCCAACACATCAGACTCAACAGTAGATTCGAAACAGAACAATAATAGTGTTGCACGAAACCTGTATAAACACTTAAAGGGATAGTTCACCCCAAAAATAAATGAAACTTCTGTCATCATTCAATCATCAGTTTTAAACTAGGGCTGCACGATAAATCGTTTTAGCATGGACATCGTGATGTGCCCATCCGCAATAGTCACATCACAGGATGTGCGATGTGAAGTGTATGGTCGTAGTTGATCCGAGAGATTTCTGTCCCTCCATTGACAGTCCACACAACCACCACTCAATTCATATGGAATAGTTTTACGATCTCTTTATGAACTTTCTGAAGCGTCAAAGTCATGGGCGGCACTAGGGAGGGGCTAGCAGGTGCTTCAGCACCCCCAAGAAAGACCAAAGCACCCCGATAGCACCCCCTAAAATAATGTCTGGAATCAATTATATTCAAATATATGTTATTTCGAGATATTAAGTCGTTATTTCAATATAATATCTCGGTATTTCGACATAATAACGGCAAATTTTTGTCCCGCCAAAGCCTTTTTTGATCGGTGAGTGATGTAGAATAGAATGACTGCTGCGCTTGACAGGGCACGTTACAAGCAGAGAGAGAGAGAGCCCCGGCCGCGCGCACTCTCACTTCAAACACTTCTTGCGCATATTAATCAAAATCAATTGACACGATAGTAAAAGGTCGGAAGACCGCAGTTTCACGTGGAGCATTTGGAGATTTGTTCTCCTGAATTACCGCGGTGTGTGAATTGTGCTAAAAAAAAAAACACGTTGCCTAGCTTATCGTCTCTAAAAAGCGTTCCGCCCATTCAGCTGACCTAAACCACATTTCAATAAACGAAAAAACCTATCCAGTGATATGTTTTCTGTATTGACGCAAATCTTGTGCGATGTCATAAACTGCCGTGCACAATCACACAAGCGTGCCGTAGACGTCCACTAATGACACGTCCGATACGCAAACGAATGACTCATTTTAACCATTCACTTTAATGAATAGTAAAACAACTGGCATGTCCAACACTGAACTCACGAGACCTCTGAATCGGTGTATAAAAAATCGGTAACACTTAATTAGATTAGTTAACATTTACTATTAATTAACTGCACCTCAGCATTGTTAATGTTAATTGTTTCAATATTTAGAGAGTCAGGCCCAGTATATGTGTGTTGTAGCCATTAAATAAGCGCATTTAATTTCATTTTTGTTAAAATATTATAATGTTTTTTTGTTTTGTTTTTACATCTATGCTGATTATGAAAATTGAACAGCATGAGTAAGATGCGCGATATATCGGAAGATATGATGGGTCAGACATGATTTTGACCACTAAATTTACATTTACACATTTACATTTAGTCATTTATTTTAGCAGACGCTTTTATCCAAAGCGACTCAACTGAGGACTAAACCAAGCGAGTCATCGTGAAAAGGCAAAAACAACGCAAGAAGTGCTCAAAATACCAAGTTCGGACATTGCTCGGAGTAGCATAAGCCAGACAAGCGAGGATTTAAAGGAAAAGGATTTTTATTTTTTTATGTTAAGTATAAATTAAGTTTTGTTTTGTAGAAAGCCTTTTTTAAAGTAAATTTCGTTTTGTATAAATTGTATCTTAATTTTAATCAATTTTTCATCAACCAATTGACTGGGTATAGTAGCCTAAATAAGAAGCAAATAGCCTATAGCAGATGATAAAGATAAGGAGGCGCGGGCGCGATCTTGCACGTGAACTGGAGCACATCTCATCATAAATTTTGCTCATTTAAATAATAGTGTGTTTGTGTGTGTGTGTATATATATATATATATATATATATATATAGGCAAATTGCGCAGCTCCCCCTGTCAATGATCTAGCAGCCCCTCAGCACCTGCGTTAAAAATTATCTGGCGCCGCCCCTGGTCAAAGTGGTAGTTGCGTAGCTGTTAATGGAGGGACAGAAATCTGAAATCACTTTAAATATCATTTAAAATATCTTCATTTGTGTTCCGAAGATGAACGAAAGCCATACAATTTTTATAGTGACATGAGGGTGAGTAAATGACAACTGACAAGTTATATTTATATGCATTTAAATTGTATATGTGTTTTGTTATACTGTTATAAAGATCTCACTGATTTACATTACAACCTATCAGAATCTTATCTTATTTTTGGCCATATAAAAATCAGAAACTGCACCAAATTGCAAACTTTTGCTAATTTTTGCTAGTTTCATATTCTTACTATATCATACTATTGTATATGAGCCAATAAAGTCTATTAATATCAAATAGAATGCTCAACATATACAAACTTTTTATTGATTTTTTTTAGATTTCTTTTAGATTTTGTCTAAAAAACCATTCCAATGGGTTCCATTTAAAAAAAAAATGAGTACTTTTTTTTTACCATTATTTTTTTCAAATTTCAGGCTTTAAGGGGTTAAGACAAAATGAGGGTGAGTAAAAGAGGATAGAAGTTTTATTTTGGGGTAAACTATCCCTTTAAGAACAGAAGATGTTTTTTTTCTTTGGGTTTGGGCACAAATGTTGACTGATGCACAGGACACATTATATTAAATATTACATTATAAGACAGCGTAGACATAATACATTTTCAGCACATAGTAAAACAACAATAAAACTTGTCTGGGATTATTCATTTTAAAAAAGTGGTGCTATTGTAATACTATGTTTTTTTTGGGACATGTACCATTATAATACCATAATAATCTTTACCTTGTCTAATCAAGTACCTTGTAAATATCAAGGAATATGAATTTTGGTAATAATTTAGTACCATGGTGATTTTCATTACCATTACTGTACCACGGTACCTCGACAGTACTTTTTATATCAGTAAAATTGAGTATTCAGAATGATCAAAAGCGTGAAAATAAAACTGCTTTGTTGTGTATGTCTGCCAACTCAATTGCGTTTAATAGAGCGCAAAAGTGACCCGACCGGAAAGGGATGTAAACAAATTTTGGTGGCTTTGGTGCTTGTTAGTTTAGAGAGGTTAAAGTGTGCTAATCTAGAACGTCCTTCAAAACATAATGCTTCCATGTAACAGCAACAGCCGCAGTCCCGTCAACAGAGGCTCCCGCAGCTCGACTGACTAAACCGGCACAAAACCTTAATCAATGAAACACACACACACACACACACAGGCGATAGAGAAGAGATGGTGTTACCGAGGCGGGTGGGACACTCTGTTACACAGCAGCAGGGCCTCGTCCGGAGGCAGGACCAGAGAGGAGGCGTTTTGGCAGTGGAGAGATCAGCTCCGGATCAGGGTCAGGAACTCGTCCCGTGTCTTGGGGTCCTCGCGGAAAACGCCCAGCATGGTGCTGGTCACAGTCTTGCTGTTCATCTTCTGGACGCCTCGCATAACCATACACATGTGACTGGAGAACAGAAAGGAGAGAAAATGAATCTTGAGTTCTAGTCAGACATAGCATTGTAAAATAATGTTGAACTTGAATTTTCACATACGTGGCTTCAACAACCACTCCGACGCCAGCAGGCTGTAGAGCTTCAGTGATGGCGACCGCAATCTGTTTAGTTAGACGCTCTTGAACTGAAATGAGAGAAGCCGACAGATCACAACTATTGAGAATATACATTCAATTTTACAGCTATTGGTGAAACAAACAAGGATTTCGAAGGTGTATGAATAATATTCCATGGTAGAATTGTTTGTTTTGGGGGGGGTTACCTTGCAATCTCCTGCTGTATATCTCAACAATCCTGGTGAAAAACAAAAAGCATAAACATAGTTAAGCGTCATTTATACACAATATACCTCCATTGAATGTAATAGTGGTTTGATTACATGAACTTTATTGCTGAGAGATTTCAGTTGTAGTAATGATATAATAAAACCTGGGGACAGGTGTATTGTTTAGGGAAAAAAAGTTTGTGTTTTTATTCAAACACAATGTAAACTAACAATGAACACTCAATTTAGACACTTAAGCAAGTTAATTGAAGTTTTTGTATTAATATAAATATACATAATTGTAATATATACATTTGTAACATAATAATACATTACCGTTCAAAATTGTATACTTTTAAACCGATCAAAAATCTTTGTAACATTATCAATGTCTTTATTGTTTCAAATAAATGCTGTCCTTTCGAACCTTCTATTCAAAAGAATATTTAAAAATGACATTTTCCACAAAAATATTAAGCAGCACAACTGTTTTCAACATTGATAATAATAAATGTTTCTTAAGCAGCCAATCAGGATATTAGAATGATTTCTGGAGGATCATGTGACACTGAAGACTCGAGTAATGATGCTGATTCAATTTTAAAATAGAAAATAATTGAAATAATAGAATAAAATTAAAATAATAATAGAAAAATAATCGAAAATTAAAACTTGTGTAAATAGTATTGTAAATATTTCACGGTTTTCTTTTTTTTATCAAATAAATGCAGCTTTGGTGAGCATAAGAGACTTTTAAAAAAAATCTTACCGGCGACACCAAACACATCAAATTTTTTAGTATATTTAAATATAACCATTTAATACTAATGAGTAGAACAAACACAATAAAAAAATCCTTTTTCCAGCTGGCACATAATATCAAATATAACTTAATATCAAAAACTCTGTTTCACGTTTGACCATTTGATCAGCAGTGATCCGTTAAACTACAAGGCAAATGAAAAGGTCTACAAGCCACAGCCATAAAAATGAAACAATAACCACTTTTAGAAATCAGAAATGCAACTGTGTGTGTGTGCATGTGTGATTACGTGTGTGTGTGTGGTACTGGTAAGAGTTATATGACTGCTGTTGTCATGTCTTCATTAGTGGAGTGTAGTATTACGGTTGGGACATCGTGAGATGGATAAGCCACAGGTATTGGGGTCAAATTGAATCAAGCTTCTCTTTGTCACACACATTGTGTCTAATCCGCTTACAGACACTTACACTCTCACTGCTTCAAACACAAACACACACACACACGTGCATCTTGATTTCACAGACGAACAACATTCCTGAGGCGAAAAGAGCCATTAATCTCCTTCACTCGAGCGAATGCTGCTGATTTCACTGAAAAAACACTGCATTGTGGCTGGATCAATTTGCATACTCCTGAAGGGATCCATTAAGATTCAATACTGCACCAGGAAAACATAAATTCACCTGCAATGGGCCAAAAAGAATTTGAACACTTAAGCCATAACTTATGTGAATGTCACTACATAATATAACAAAACGTAAAATATATTTTAAAGAAGGATAGCAAGTTGGAAATAAATATATATATATATATACACACACACATATACATATGGACGTGGGGAGTTGTTTTGGGTTGTGGGTGCTGAAAGGGGGGGGTGGGATTGGGAGATATAGAGATAGTATATAAAGATGTAATTAAACTTGTCAATGCCACGAAGCGTAACAAACATTCCCTGAGAATGGGCTACTAGTACTGAGGTATTTTTGCAGGCAATAAACGAGCCTCCTACACTTGTGCCTATACCTCCAGAGAGGAGTGCAGAAACCCCCCAGTAGGTCTTAATGAGTCGTTGAATCATTCATTCAAATCAATTCGATCAAAAACACTGATTCTTTCAGGAACGAAACAGGTTGCAAGACGCGTGCAACGGTTCTGATGTGGCTTTGTTGGAAACTATTTTTGTTGAAGGAGCAAAAACAGACAATATGTGTCTAAGCTGTAAATGACTTAATATTAACTTATTGTTTAAAAGTTCTATAACATCAATATCACATTTTCAAAATAATTTTCGGGGAGAAACAGCACTCTTGCTTGCGTGATAGCTTATTACTTAACTACATTATTATAAATATGAAAACCGGAAATCTTTTTTAGGGCATTTTTTCCCCCATAAAATGGGGCATTTTTGTTCATTTTGAAGGCATTTTTGCCACAATGCCCTGTTAATTTCACTCTGGTTTATGTCAATCAAGATCCATGAGGAATAAAATAATAGACTATTTCCATTTTGAGAAGGTAAGCTATGTAAAATTAAAAGAGTTTAATTGCGTTTATAAACATGTGAAAACAGGTGCTGCATATGCCCCTGTATATATTATATACACATACAACTGGTCAAAGGTTAGGGGTCAGTAAGATTTGTTTTTTTTAATGTTTTTTTTTAAAGTCTCTTATGCTCACCAAGGTGAAAATGTTTTATATTTAAAAAAAATATTTTAAAAAATCTTCCTGACCCCACATACAAATTTTAGTTGAAAAAAAAAAATATTTGAAAACTTTATTGTTCAAAAGAAATAAAGGCAAACATTATTTATTTATTATTTACAATACTTTCTGGTTGTCAAACATTAGTAGTACATACCCAGAGTTCATGTAATAACCTACACTTGTGGCTAGTCTGCTAGGACTGTATTTTGTTATCTAATGCAATGACTGGTGGAAGATGGAAGTGGCTTAAGAGTCCAAATACTTCTTGAGGCCACTGTTTGGTTTGAGAAAACACAAATTGAGGATGTAAACGAGAAAAACATTTTAAAAAATCATTAAAGTAGGCATGAAATGGAAGAAGTTATGTCTTTTCTTCTCTATTGTGATGTATATCAGAGTGAAACTGCTTCCCGAACAAGAAAAAATGTGAATTAATTGGATGTTTGTGGTTTGCTATTGCTGTGATGTCATGTGAGTGACAGGTTGTCCCGCAGTCATGCCAGTGAACAGATGTCGAGAGGAAGGTATTTTGATTAAAGATTATAAGGCCATTTAAATTTATAAAAATAATAATGTGCACAGATGAAACATTTGTAATAAACACTGCAACATTCCATAAAAAAAAAACAAGAATTGTCAATTTGGATTTCATGGCGACTCTAAAACCGGATTTACATTCATTTTGTGTGAGAAACCTGGGGCCAGTTGCATAAACATACCCGCTAACTCAGTCTCAAGAACTAGTCTGACCAACTAGCAAATAGTTTGGGCTAATCAGTCTTACCTTTCGGATTCAAATCCGGAGACCAATCTACCTTTTCAAGTAACTGACCAGTCTTTAAAGAAAAAAATGTTATGGCTAACTTAAGACTAGTCTAAGCAGTTTATGCAGCCGGCCACTGGGAGTATTTGACCTACCGTGCTAATTTACTCAGACCAAGAACCCTCTTGTTTGGAAGGTAACCTATATGCACCTGTGAAAAACACAACACATTAACTGACAACAGAAAGATATAACTGCAAAACATGGGAGTTATATACACAATTCTTCCAGAACTAGTTTTTTTTTAATTCATGATTACCTGTTAGCTAGCAAGCAACATGTCACAGAATCAGACGAAAACCTACAGACAGTAAAACAGTGGCTGGAGAGAGCCGTATCTGTCCATGTGCATCTTCACCCCCCCACCTCCCTCCCTCCCTCGCTCTACGCCATCAAACTCAAATGTCACCAACAATTTGATGAAACGGCCCAGAGAAAGGGCAGCATCAACAGACATGCAAGGCTTTTCTCTTTTTTCTCTTCTGATGCGATAATCCTGCGCGTCACTGAAACCTCTTGGCCTTCGTTCCGGGCCGGCAAACTCCTCTCGACATCCTCTAAAACGCATCAATCGAACTTTACCAAAAACTACAGAGCAGCACCTGGGAAACGAGCAAAGCGCTTTTTGTGGCCAACAGGTAAGACATGCGGCGGCTGTACGGTAGATATGTTTCTAGTGTAAGAGAGCGCACTTGATCGGCTCGGTGTTCGTGATGGACACTAAGAGTGTTGTGAGGACAATCACGGAGATGGAGGACGCTGAAGCGCAAGCAAGAGGGCCAAAAATGAAAGAGAACGGGCGCACGCCTCTTTGAAAGAAATTGGTGAGTCATTATCTTGTTGCAGATGCGGAGAGAGAGGCGAGGTAAATAGCTGAGAAGGAATAGGGAGCTATCAGCGGGGGACGCAGCGGAAACCAGAGCCCTACAACAGCATCTGACAAACAAAATTGCAAGTGGTGAAAAAAAAAAAACGTTCAGTGCGCTTGATCAATGGCTCAGTCTATCATCAGTAGCCATTTGTGGCGTGACAGGATCGACGGCGTCTCTTTTGTCTTAAATGGCAGACACCTGCGGTGCTGTGAGCTCGAGGGAGGTACGAAATGTCAAACCTGGAGTATTAAAAGTGCCCATTGTTTTTCAGTGGAACTCAGATCTGATATTTCAGCGTGTCCTTGTTACCTGCTTCCAGATGTAATTATAGCTAATTAAGTTGGTTATTGACAGATTACACATCAGGTGCATCAAAAAAAGAAAGAAAGAAGCTGTTTCTGCCTTCAAGTTGGTGAATCTCTCTCTCCAAAAAAAATCCAGGTCATATTTCAACCCACAATCACAAAAAATAAAAAAATTAAAGCCATTTTTAATGCAATTTTTGTCATAATAATTAAGGAATTTCTCATTGTGATTTTTAGTCAGCATAAATTGACTTAAAACACTACTTACTTGAGCAACAGTGCTTCACAATATACTTGTGTATATAATTTTAATAATATATTAGTATTTATTCCACATTACAGTAATGAGAATGCTATTTTTTTTTTACTTACAATAAGCTTTATGAAAATAATTCTTATTCTTAATAATAATTTATATAATTCTATCATTTCTATGTTTTATTCTTTTGATTATGGGGTGGAATATGACCTGGATATTAAATAAATAATGAAAAATAAATAATGAAAGCAAAAAAGTAATAATAATAAATAAATAAAATACAAATATGAATATTTTTTATAATATATTAAAAATATAATATATTACTTTAATAAATTGATCATAAAATAACATTTTAATTGAAAAAGATTAAATAAAGACCTTCAATAGCCTATCCTAAAAGCCTTGATAGAGGTGTGACAAATGAATTTGTAAAACTACATATTCAATGCTTCATTTTTTTTTGTTTCTCAAATATGGTCATAAAAACTCCACTGCAAGGGTGACATATGCTAATGAAGGTAAAAGGGAAATGTTTAGTCTTACCCGGCCAAAAATGGGAACTAAATGGTGTTCACACATGGAAAACATGTCGATATCCTTCACGATCACCATCTCGTCATGGTCTTCATCAAAGATTGCGTCATTCAGGACATCTACAAGAAGGTACAACAACAAATCAAGATATGACATCATTATAGTTCCCCCCATGCGCTCTTCCTGTTGCGGCCCTGTGTCATTTCTCTTAGCTTCAATCATTGTTCAAACATATCCTATTTTATCTATTGAGAATGCACTGTCTTTTCTTGTGGGGCTTTTTAATTTCCTGGCTGCCTATCTCAGGGAAGGCTTTCGTGGAAACATGGCAAACTGATGGCGAAGCTTCAGGGTTTTGTTGAGATGTGACTCCAATATTTTGTTGCCCCTTTTGTGCAGTCACTGTGTGATTGAAAAAGGCAGAAAGCAATCATTTTTCAGGCTGTTTATGACCACCGGACAGGTATGACAGCAATTAATAACAAATATTTTTACATTTTCTGAAAGAAAAATGAGCAGTGCTCGCTCATCAAAACTCGTCATCCTGTTGTGGCTGGTTGTTAGGGTGTTGCAAGGGTGTTATGGGTCTCAAAAGATATTCTGGTCACTAGATGTGACTAAGTTCCTTAAAATTTAAGCTATTTTTACAGATTTCCTCAAAATCACAAGTCAGATCACATAGAAAGCTGCATGCTTTGAGGAAACAATAATTGTCTGTATACATTTTTTTTTTTAAACTGATAATGAGCAATAGTAATAATAGTTATGCAACCACCACTGACAAACTGATAGTATCCCTCATATAAGTGGCTGAACAAGTTATGTCCATGTCGTTTCATGGTTCCTAGAACTTTTGTTAATATTTAAACTGATCCTGGTCACCACTAACCAGTGCAGTGTTGTGTAAACGTTGTAGCTGATCTGAGCATCTCTGTTGAATTGAACCTGAGGGCAGCAGCTGTTACGAGAGAGAACTGTCATCAGCCTCGTCCTGAACAAACAGCCGCTTTCAAATGCACAGGCACAACACACGAAAAGGTCTCACGCGTATGACGGTGGCGGCACCGAAAAAAGAACAGGAAATCAAATCAGCATCTCCTCGAAGTCATCTTTCAGCCTCGCTGCCACAGTCACACACACTCAATTAAACACAAACTTGCTTACACACTAAGCAAACATACACTTGAAATACAATAAGTAACCATAGAAACCCATTGAAATTGTGAAGAAGTCAACAAGCAGAGCTCTGGTTATGGGTAATGTTACTGCTGTTGAGGTCTTGGCTTGATCTCCATCTCTTAAATAAGAGACAGGCATCCGTCCAGCCAGTGGGGGCAGGGGGCAACGCAGCATAATGATGGGTAATGCAGGAAAGAAACCGTACTGAGCTGCGTAACCGCTGTAAATGGAGCAATATCACTCGTTTCTATGACCTTTAATGGGACGTGGTGAGACCATGACAAAACCATAAACTGTAAGAAAACATCATGTATAATAATAATGCCATAATAATTCCTTTATTTCACAATCCTTCCTTCCTTTTGTCTGTGACTCATGAGTAGCATTACGAGTACGACAGATAGGCCTATGTTTTATTGTAGGGCTGGAATGACGTGTCAACGTAACCGATTACTTTGATTAAGTAAATTTGTCAATTTGAGTGGAATGCGTCGATTCGTCACACATGTTCCCCAGTGATGGCGGCTCCCGGGCATGCTGAAAATCAGCCGTTGTTATAAAAATATCGAGCCAGATCTGAAGTGTGGAATTTTTTTTTAACAGAGATCGAATAAAATGGTGCTCTGCACACCCTGTTAAACTGAAATGGCAAACCACAGCAGCACAACTTCTATGTAGAGCATCTGAAAAGAAAACACCCCAGGGCTCTCCTACCTCAAAACAACGAAACGGCAGCGTAAGTATTTGGACTAGTACAGTGAATTTTTACACAGCTCTAGAATATGGTTGTCAGTCCTATATTTTGTGCTTAATGCGGCTGCATTAATACAGCATTCAGTTTTACACGAGACGCGATTAATCGAAAAAATAATCTTTTAGTTCCAGCCATATTTTATTGGCATCTGATATAAATTGAAGTTGCAAAATGGTGCTCAAAACAGACTCAACTATTAATTATCATCATCAAAATGTTTATTGATGTTTATAGTAGGCTCAAATGTAGCCTACTATCTCGTAATCGTTAAATTATTAGATTAACCGGAAAAATAATCGATAGACCAGTCGATAGGAAAAATAATCGTTAGTTCCAGCTTATTTTATTGCCATCTGATATAAATTTAAGAAGCAAAATGGTGTTCAAATGGTGTATTCATTTTCATCATAAAATGTTTATAGATGTGGCATTATTACATCTTATATATTCAAATGTTTAAGTAAAAAATGTAAATATAATAAACATTGCTGTTTGTTTTTTATATTTATATATATTTGTGTATAAATTATTATATTATTAAATAAATGATTTTTTCCTTGTGTTAATTTAATGTAAAAAGTCATTTTACACTAGAATTATTGAATTTTACAGCTTACATTTTGAATATATTTGTCTACAATGGCTGTTTGGTCGAAATTTTCGAAAAACATTGAGAATGTGATACATATTGCATACCGACAAATGGCTTAACAAAAATCACGTTTTTTAGGGATGCACCGATGTAAAGAATTTGGCCGATAACCGATTTCTTTATATTTGAAAGCCGATAACCGATATATTGGCAGATAAATCTAAATATATATATCATTTTTAAAAGCCTGATTACAAAAACAAAAGTCTCACCATTAAAAGCCATGTCCCAAGCACACAATTATAATGATAACATTATAAATATAACATTAAAAATGAACATATATCGGCCAATACCGATATGGTGGCCGATATATCGCGCATCCCTAATTTTCCTTAAAAACATACAAGCACCAACAGCTTCCTTTTCTCAGAGCATTAACTCACGAGCCACCCACCACCCATAAAAACACGAAAATGGAACACAGCCTCACACAAACCCACTGAGCTCGCTAGTTTTCTGCCTCAAAGCTGTCCCACTGCAAATGATTTTCTGTTGGAGACACACAAAAAACTACTCCAGAACAATTCAAGAAGCTGTAGGGGTGGTGCAAACTTTAGCCAATCTCATCGAAGACGAAGACCTTCCTCTAGAATTTTTTATCAAATGCACGATTCACCGTGACGTTGCATGTTCTACCATCTATGAACTGTGTACCATGTTCAAGCAATGCAAGTGTTTTGAGGTCATTGAGGGCAGTCTGCTTTCACAAGGAGTTTTTTGGGGGTAAAAAAGCAACATTAATATATTCCATATGCATGGGCCCTAAAAATGCTACACAAACCAGGTCCAGATGTGCTGTTTTCTATGTGGGGATGTTATTGGTGTTGTGACGGTGGGCAGCACCCTGGCTCAACCACTTAGACAACAGCCTGAGAGTGACCAGTGAACAATTACGCAAGATAAACCTTTGCTTTGAACTGGAGTACCTGTTGAGCCAGTTATATTGATGGCACATGAAGGTGTTTGAGGAAATACTTTTAACCGGGGCGGAAATGCTCGACACTGCTCGAGTCTGTAAAAGATTAATGGTCTGTGGCCTATAAAACTCTCTGCATCATAATTAGGTCAAAGCATCTCATTTAAAAAACTATTTTAAGAGGTTGATTTCGTATGAATTTGTGGAAAAATAAGCATGAAGGTCTACCTGAAACCTAGCCGTCAGTGAAATGTATTAAATGAGTTTGTGCATAGCCACCAATTCCAAAATATGACAAAAACTGCCATGAAATTGTGCTGAAAATACATATTTCATTGTGAAAATACATGACATGATTTTGAAGAATGTACAGGCTGATGTTTTACATAAAATGAGTATGATGTCTCAAAAAGTACTCAAACTCACCATAAAAGTGGTCCATATGACTTGTGCATTATATTCCAAGTCTTCTGATGTCATATGATAGTTTTATATGAGTAACAGACTTCTAGTTATAGTTAAGCTATCCACTAACATTCTTAACCTCCAGTGTGATGTTAACCATGACCAGATCCACGTTGTCAGTTCAGACCATTAAAAAAAAAAAAAAAAAAACTAAACTAAATCAACTGATTCATTAATAAAAATCTGACTCAATGAACTTGGCTACTTGTAAACATTTGTAAAAACAACTTTTATACCCCTGTTGTCCCGATTGTCTCGCGCTCTGTCTAGTTGGTTTTGAATCCAAGAACGCATCTGTGAACAATAGTATAATAAAAAAAAGTAAAGTAGCCTACTGTAAAACAGAATGTTAACTTATATGTTAACGTTGTATCATGTTTATTTCTCTTCTTCGAGAGTAAAATAAAACACCCTGACACTTCAGAATATCTCAACTTCAGAAAAAAAAGGAATTGTGCTTACAAACAAATGTAAACCACAAAAAGTGTACACACATAAAGTGAAGACAAACGAGGCTTTTCGTCTGTCCGTCATTTTAGCAACTCACCAATGATTTTTTCCTGATACCCCTTGGTGAAGAACTGCATGGCTGTGGCGGCTCTCCACGGAGTTTTGAGCAGCCCCTGTCGCTGCGGGTCTTCCCCGAGACCCCTGAGGATAGTGGTGTACGCCGCGGCGATGCTCGGCAGGCTCATTTCGTTGTCTTCCAGACTGCGAGTGCGCTCTTCCCGCCAGCTCTCCATCACGCTGGGAGACGGCACGGTGCTCGGGTCCCCGGCGGCACCACCGGCGCGCCATCCGGGCATCTTCACCCGGCTGTCAAAGTGTCCATTGATCGCGGCATCTGTTTCATTATCACTTTGATTCATTTGTTTCTGTTTGGGGCGATCCATGATTACCTGAAAGTGACAGCTTGGGTTCCTCAAAGTCGGTTTTAATGCTACTATCTGTTTTTAAAACACTGTTTAAGGTGTAACGAAAAAGACTTGAGTGAAGTTCAACGGTTATTATACTCTTGTCAAACTCGTGCTCTTGCAGAGGCAGCCGGGGGTTTTATTTACATTAGCTAATCCGTACGCGTTCCTATTGGTCCACAGGAGAGACTGCGTCACGGAGCCTGATTCCCATTGGCCGAGAGGCGTGCTTGCGTCAGGCCACCTGTATCTAGTAAGAGGATGAGATCTCTTCTACACATTAAAGTGATGTCTTGGGGCAGATCAAACCACCTAAGGGGATTGACTAGACCTTTGGGTGAGGTTGTTCTTATGATTAAAAATAAAATCAGTGTTTGTAAGTGAAATGCATTAGGCAACCAAGAGGTTGTACTGCTGTTAACATGTCAGTTCAGATCAGTTTCATTTCATGTCAGTCTGGTTGCAAAAGCAAAGTTCAGTGACCACGAAAACCATTCATTCACATTTGAAGGATGCCCGTCATTACATCACTGGTGTGCAACAAGCAACATTATGTACTTTCAACTTGCAGATTTGCCAAGATAACCTTTAGAATAAAGAAAATACAGCAGACAAGACTCAAAATACAACATTTTAGCTTTTATTATGATTGTTTTACATACAGTACAAAATTTCACACACAAAAACATATGTACAAATGAGCCAAAAATAAAGTAGGAGAGACCACAGCATTCAGAGTATCACCAGGTTCAAAGAGACCTTTTTTATCAACCATCTTGCAAATTGTTTAACAAAGAGCCTTTGCTTCATTTCAAATGCAAATGAAGAGAGACGTGTACTGCTTTCAAAAGAGCTCCAACTTGAGAAAATTTATGGAGAACAAGTGGATCACAAATGAGCAGCTAATCTATTAGACAAGGTGAGAGGACAGAGAATCACAGTAAGCAATACAAAAAAAACTACTTTTAAAAGTTTCCCCCCAATCGATATTAAAATATAAAAAATATATAAGCATTAAACTAAATTATGTTAAGTGCTAATCTTTGTTAAATGCAAATGCAGAAAGTTTAGCAGAAGTATCCAGTGGCTTTTTCTTTTTGGCACTGCCCTCCTCTGAATCCATATGTTCATTTACTTGTCCTGCTTCATCTTCGCGCTTTCTTTTCTTGGGGTCCGAGTCGCCCTTTGCTCTCTCCGTCCAGTTCTGAATGAAAAAGATACGGGATTTTTATATACACGCACACACAAGCAATAAACTGCATCGTTCAAATAAGCCTCAGTAATTGTAATTAAAAATGACTGACAAACCACTGCCAACCCAGACACATTTGTTCACGGTTGGCGTAAACAAAGGCGGTGAACATTTACAGATGACCGTGATGAGTCACCGGACCCATTTCACATATGAGCACCGAGACTCTTTCTGCACGTTCCCTCCCCTTCCCCCTCCCAATGTACGCCATTCACCATTGTAACGCACGCTTTCACCGCCTAATGCCACCCTCATGTCATTAACATAAGATCAATGAGTACAGCACACACCCCCAGCCTGAGTTTCCAGAGCAACAGGCGTACCAACCATTCGCCCTCCAGGCTGGAGTGTGTGAAGAGTCATTCTGTCCTGCACTGAGTGGCCCTGTGGGTGCGGGGTCACGAACAGATTGTTCATACAGGTGGAGAGCATGAGTGTTTGGAAAGCCCACACATATACACAGGTAAGTGGAGATCAGAAAACAGGAGCTTGCTAATGAACAGTGTTGTCATGGATAAACTGAGTTAGAGCATTAAAAAATTGGAGGAAATTGAACTAGAAAAAAAAAACACGAGAGCATGAATGAAATCTGTGTTACATAATACCGAGGACACATCCAAGAAAAATGAAACAGGGAAATTCCCAAGTAACCTTCCTGGATTTAATAACAGGTTGAAGGATTTGCATGAGAAATTAGTAAACCATATAAAATACACGTCCCATTCATGAAATGTCTTACCAGCCTTTCCTCTGCTGAGAGAGTGCGGAAACGCCCCATGCCTTCCTTGATAACATCCATTTCTTCAAAGTCAGGATTGTCTGCGAGAATGCTCTTCCTATTCTCCTCCAGCCACAGCTGAAAGCCAGTTTTTGGCCTAAAGAAAGTAAACTGGTTACAGACGAGTGTTAAAGCACTAAAAAGGATTGACAGTTGTTAATCAATCATCTTCTTCTTGATTAGGGAAGCACAACATACAGATGAACACACTGGTGTCAGCCAAAACAAATAGCGAAAGACTGATTAATCTGGCAATATTTTGTGATTTTCGACATCACATACAAATATCAATTGGTTTGTTTTTTTTAAAGAAAAAGAGAAATTAAAATTAATACTGATTATGAGTAATTTGGGACGTAAATAAATTATATATACACACACACACACACACTATTTAATAAAAGCAAATAAAATGTATACAATTACTGAAATTAAATATCGATCAATCAGTCAACAGTGTTAATTATCTGCATCAATCTGATTGAACTAATATTGAATTAATATTGGGGGGGGGGGGGATATTAATAGAAATTTGAATTTAATAGCAAACTCTTCATCTATGCCAGACTCTGAAGGTTCTTATATTTTATACTATGCAGGATTTAAATTTAGAGAAGCTTTTTAGAGAGCTTCAGGCACCTTTTATCTTTAAAAAACAGATTTACACTATTGCCCTCACATTTTAACAGCCATAAATAATTATAAGCATAAGCAATCATACAAACTTTTATATTGTGCATCTCTAAATTTGGGCACTTGGGCAACAATGACAATTGACATGGAATACTTTTTCTTTCAAAAATGTAAAACAAAAAAAGATCCTCGCATCATTACAATTAAAGGTGCTGCGGTCTCTTACTTTCTGTTTTCGATATTCTCCGCTGATACTGGAGGTGTAGCCGCAGGAACTGGTTTCATTTTCTCTGCTTCTGATTGGCTGTCCTCCTGTTTCTTACGGTTTCCTTTAGAGGCACTCATCTGCAGCAGTGTGGCCTGGGTCTTAAAAAGAAGGAACAAAAAAAGCTACATTCAGACTGCAGGAAAAAAAAAAAAAAAGTGTTCCATAACAGTGTGAACAGCACAAACCACATGGATTCTGATCTTTCCCTTTCTGATTTGGGACACTTCCATATGTGGTCCTAAATCAGATACAGGTCTAATGTTTTGTAATGCGACCTCAGTCATCATCAGAATGATGATTTTTTTCGGCATTCTAGATCAACATTCGTCACAATTCTGCGCTGATGGGAGTCACTCCAAAGATTTTACATACCGGTAGTTCTTTGGTCACTCATTGAGCATTAAAGTTGTCAGTGGAGGGACAGTGAGATGTTTTACTCATATACTAGTCCTACGGATGAGACGTTCAAAGCTGCTTTGAAACAAAAAGCACTACATAAATAAAGGTGACTTGATTTGACCTGACGTTGCACTGAGGTCCTGACTCTCTGTGGTTGTTAAAAATCCCATGGCACATCTTGTAAAGAGTAAGGGTGTAATCCTGGTGTCCTGGCCAAATTCCCTCCATTGGCCTTTATCAATCATGGCCTCCTAATAATAATCCCCCATGCTTTCAATTCAGCTCTGTGTTTACTTCCATATGACATTGTACTGTGTGTCGTCTTTGTTATTGTTCTTTTGCGCATGTCACTCACTGTGAGATATGCTCGCATCTCACATATTTTTCTCTATGGCTCATTTTGTACAAGATGGGATTTTTGTGTCCAGTACATTGACTAAAAATCATAATGTTGCTTATATTCCAATAGAAACACCTCTGACATTTTACTCTAAGATTGTTTAGTTCTGATAGCAGAACATTTGTAAGAGGAAAAGATAACCAGGTCATCCCTTGCAGACAGAGCTTAGAGTGAGTTTTATGGGGTCAGACAGGTTGTGTGACCCCACAGGGATGGAGAACATTTGTATTTGAGCAATACACTGTACCTTGGACTTTGGTTTGGGTGCCAGGGGCTTCAGGACTGGGGCTTTGCCCTGTTTTGATGTTCCGCTGAGAGTTGCAGGTTTTCTGCTGGACATCGTCATGCTGTCCAAAACATTAGTCGTTCTGGGCTGACCAGCTGGAGAACTTGAGGACTTTTCTGCACCAGACACCTGTAAGTTTAAATGTTTTTTTTAAAATATATATATACACTGTAAATGTAAAAATGCACGTCAAGTATTCTTGAAACACAACACTTATATGGAGCTTGCTTACTTTCACTAACAATGTGCACGTCTTACCTTGAAAGGGTTCACGCGTCCTTCTCTGCTCACTGTGACACACAAGCACAATTTTTATTGTCACCAGACACTCATCTCTCATGGCAGCCATTTATGCCACTCAAAGTCATTTGAAAAATTGTTAAATCAATTAGAAAGATAAAGATTTCATGTAGAAAAATGTAGACTAAAAACACTGAAAATAAAATGTTAAATTTGGCAGTTGATAGTTAATCTGAGATAAATGCTCAGCTTTTAACTATTTTACATATTCATTTGAGTTATATAATTTTCCGTTTATAGAAATGGTTTAATATTCTACTCACCTGGTTTGGGAGAGGGCCTTTCAGGTGATTTTCCTCCTTTTTTGAATGGATTCAAACCTGGCGAGTCAAAATATCTTCATATCAAAAACCAAATTAAATCAGGTTTTAAAAAAAATGCATTTCTTAATCTTAAAGCCGTCTACTGCAGTATTTGTATACTCGTGCTGAAACAAGTAATGTGAATGATCAAGAAGGCCTCAATTTCAAACATCAAGAAACACACAGCTGAAATGCATGGGGCATTTGGTTTAATATACTACTTTTCAGTAGCCTGGTTAAAACCAGACCATTCTCAGTTGTAACTGAGTTATGGTCTGGCAAAGCGTCATAGACAAATCATTTCCAGAGGGGCGTCACCAACGGACGTCGCGGATAGACCTAAAACCAATCAGAGCGATGAAGGAGATGACGTATGCAGAGCGGCGGAGAAACATCTCCGAGTGTTGTTCTTTGCTCGGTTTTTATCAAAAAGGAAACGTTCAAATCGCTTAAAACAGACGCGATAGCTGATTCGAACGAGTGAT